AAAATTGATTATTATTATTCCATTCCAATGTAGGTTCAAGTGGTAGGTCTTTTTTAAGGTAATAAGTGTTGTTTAAAGGTATAAAAATAATAGAGACATGCTGTTTAATTTTATTTGACTTGGTAAGGAATTTTTTCATTTTCCAGGAGAACATTCTTGCTTAAAAAATGGAATAAAATTGATTATTATTATTCCATTCCAATTTAGGTTCAATTGGTAGGTTTTTTTAAGGTAATAAGTGTTGTTTGAAGGTAAATAAATAATACAGACATGCTGTTTAATTTTATTTGACTTGGTAAGGGATTTTTTCATTTTCCAGGAGAACATTCTTTTCTTAAAAAATGGAATAAAATTGATTATTCGTATTCAATTGCAATTCAAGTTAAATTGTTATGTTTTTCTAAAGGTAATATGTGTTGTTTAAGGGTAAATAAATAAAAGAGACATGCTGTTTAATTTATTTGAATTGGTAAGGGATTTTTTCATTTTCCAGGAGAACATACTTTCTTAAAAAATGGAATAAAATTGATTATTCTTATTCTATTGCTATTCAAGTTAAATTGTTATGTTTTTCTAAAGGTAATATTTATTATTTAAAGGTAAAAAAATAATAGAGATTTTCTTATTTTCTTATTCTATTGCAATTCTGGTTCAATTGGTAGGTTTTTTTGATGGTAATATGTATTATTTAAAGGTAAAAAAATAATAGAGACATGCTGTTTAATTTTGTTTGACTGGTAAGGGATTTTTTCATTTTCCAGAAGATTCTTTCTTAAAAAATGAAATATAATTGATTATTCTAATTCTATTGCAATTCAGGTTAAATTGGTAGGTTTTTTTTAAACGTAATATGTATTATTTAAAGGTAAAAAAAAATAGAGACATGCTGTTTAATTTTGTTTGACTGGTAAGGGATTTTTTCATTTTCCAGGAGAACATTCTTTCTTAAAAAATGGAATAAAATTGATTATTCTTATTCTATTGCTATTCAAGTTAAATTGTTATGTTTTTCTGAAGGAAGTATGTATTATTTAAAGGTTAAAAAATAATAGAGGCATGCTGTTTAATTTTGTTTGACTTGGTAAGGGAATTTTTTATTTTCCAGGAGAACATTCTTTCTTAAAAACTGGAAAAAAATTGATTATTCTTATTCGATTGCTATTCAAGTTAAATTGTTATGTTTTTCTGAAGGTAGTATATATTATTTAAAGGTTAAAAAATAATAGAGACATGCTGTTTAATTGGCGATTCAAACAGCTACACTAGCGCCACAGTTGAACTAATTTAGGCGTGACTCGCTCTAAAGCAGTCTCTGTTTTGACAGTTTATGTCAAATTATTTAATTATTCTGATATTTTTATTGCGTTTGTAAAATTATTTTTAAGCGTTAAATAAAAAAAAATAATTTAAAACACATGGAGTGCTACAGAGCGAGTCACGCCTAAATTAGTTCAACTGTGGCGCTAGTGTAGCTGTTTGAATCGCCAATTTTGTTTGACTTGGTAAGGGATTTTTTTTATTTTCCAGGAGATTCTTTCTTAAAAATTGAATAAAATTGATTATTCTTATTCAATTGCAATTCAAGTTAAATTTTTATGTTTTTCTAAAGGTAGTATGTATTATTTAATGGTAAAAAATAATAGAGACATGCTGTTTAATTTTGTTTGACTTGGTAAGGAAATTTTTTATTTTCCAGGAGAACATTCTTTCTTAAAAAATGGAATAAAATTGATTATTCTTATTCTATTGCTATTCAAGTTAACTTGTTATGTTTTTCTGAAGGTAGTATGTATTATTTAAAGGTTAAAAAATAATAGAGACTTGCTGTTTAATTTTGTTTGACTTGGTAAGGGAATTTTTTATTTTCCAGGAGAACATTCTTTCTTAAAAAATGGAATAAAATTGATTATTATTATTCCATTCCAATGTAGGTTCAAGTGGTAGGTCTTTTTTAAGGTAATAAGTGTTGTTTAAAGGTATAAAAATAATAGAGACATGCTGTTTAATTTTATTTGACTTGGTAAGGGATTTATTCATTTTCCAGGAGAACATTCTTTCTTAAAAAATGGAATAAAATTGATTATTCTTATTCTGTGGTAATTCAGGTTAAATTGGTAGGTTTTTTTGAAGGTAATATGTGTTTTTTATTGGTAAAAAAATAATAGGGACATGCTGTTTAATTTTATTTGACTTGGTAAGGAATTTTTTATTTTCCAGGAGAACATTCTTTCTTAAAAAATTGAATAAAATTGATTATTATTATTCCATTCCAATTTAGGTTCAAGTGGTAGGTCTTTTTTAAAGTAATAAGTGTTGTTTAAAGGAATAAAAATAATAGAGACATGCTGTTTAATTTTATTTGACTTGGTAAGGGATTTATTCATTTTCCAGGAGAACATTCTTTCTTAAAAAATGGAATAAAATTGATTATTCTTATTCTATTGCTATTCAAGTTAAATTGTTATGGTTTTCTGAAGGTAGTATGTATTATTTAAAGGTTAAAAAATAATAGAGACATGCTGTTTAATTTTGTTTGACTTTGTAAGGGAATTTTTTATTTTCCAGGAGAACATTCTTTCTTAAAAAATGGAATAAAATTGATTATTCTTATTCTATTACAATTTAAGTTAAATTTTTATGTTTTTCTAAAGGTAATATGTATTATTTAAAGGTAAAAAAATAATAGAGACATGCTGTTTAATTTTGTTTGACTGGTAAGGGATTTTTTCATTTTCCAGAAGATTCTTTCTTAAAAAATGAAATATAATTGATTATTCTAATTCTATTGCAATTCAGGTTAAATTGGTAGGTTTTTTTAAACGTAATATGTATTATTTAAAGGTAAAAAAATAGAGACATGCTGTTTAATTTTGTTTGAGTGGTAAGGGATTTTTTCATTTTCCAGAAGATTCTTTCTTAAAAAATGGAATAAAATTGATTATTCTTATTCAATTGCAATTCAAGTTAAATTGTTATGTTCTTCCATAGGTAATATGAGTTGTTAAAAGGTAAAAAAATAATAGAGACATGCTGTTTAATTTTATTTGACTTGGTAAGGGATTTATTCATTTTCCAGGAGAACATTCTTTCTTAAAAAATGGAATAAAATTGACTATTCTTATTCTATTGCTATTCAAGTTAAATTGTTATGTTTTTCTGAAGGTAGTATGTATTATTTAAAGGTTAAAAAATAATAGAGACATGCTGTTTAATTTTGTTTGAATTGGTAAGGGATTTTTTTATTTTCCAGGAGAACATTCTTTCTTAAAAAATGGAATAAAATTGATTATTCTTATTCTATTGCTATTCAAGTTAAATTGTTATGTTTTTCTGGAGGTAGTATGTATTATTTAAAGGTTAAAAAATAATAGAGACATGCTGTTTAATTTATTTGAATTGGTAAGGAATTTTTTCATTTTCCAGGTGAACATTCTTTCTTAAAAAATGGAATAAAATTGATTATTATTATTCCATTCCAATTTAGGTTCAAGTGGTAGGTCTTTTTTAAGGTAATAAGTGTTGTTTAAAGGTATTAAAATAATAGAGACATGCTGTTTAATTTTATTTGACTTGGTAAGGGATTTTTCTCGAAACAAGATTTTTCAAACTGGTAGGCACTGTAGCGTCTAAACTATTCAACCAATTGACTTCCGGTTTCCGGCAAATGAAAGATAACTAAATTCTGCTGGGGTTATACCTATAATATGGTATAATTGTTAACAATAACCCTTTTTTACAAGGGGTTAAACATGACAAAATAGTGCAAAAATTGCATATTTTCAAAAAAGTGTCCGCCATTTTGTCATTTATATAACTTTTTGGCCATTTTACAGGTATAACCTATTCTTTAGGATGTCAGCTTTCTAAAAAATTTTGGTTTTTTGTTCTAGGTTAAAAATTGGCGAGTGCAGAGTGCCCACCGTTTCACTTATTAAAAAAACATTGGTTTTTCAAATCGCCATATTGGACGCCATTTTAAAAATTTTCGAAAATAAAAAATATTTTTTAAAAGGTTAAGGATGTATCTTTATTTATAAAAAAACCTAGATCGATATGTGATAACAGTTTCTTGCAAAAAAATTTTAAATGTTGGACTTTTTTTCGTCGCCGCAATGAGAACCTCCCCTTAAACATGGTAAGTTTACGTTCGGCAATGAGAATTTTCCCATCCTCTGTAATTTCTCAGTCATTAGTTATTTTGCTACATTAAAAGTTGGTACTATTATTACCTACATTGAAAGTGTCAAAATCATCGGAGATTTGACAATTATTTAAAATGGGAAAATTACAAAATTTTATGTTTTTCATTTTAGATTCTGTATTTTTGCCGCATTATAAGAAGCACTATTACCAACGATTTTCTAGATTGAAATTTCTATCAGTGATAGTGCAAAAAATTGCAGGAAAATTCCCTTATGACTTTTTACAGTGAGATGAAAATCGTTTAAAAGTGAATTTATTATGCTTTTGCAAGATAAAAGAGATGTTTCCATTAACGAAAACACTAAAATTTAAGTCGTATAATATTTTCTTAATTCACACTCGTATACAATACAAAACTATTATTATTTCATTAATTAATGTTTGCTTAGATTTTTCGAAAAAATTTATAACTTCAAGGGGTGTAGGTTTTAACCCCAAAACCCCACTATGTTTCTTGTAAAGGGGCATGTAAATGTGCCCCCTGGATCCGCAACAGAAACTGTAATACAATAATAAACTTCGTTATTTTCATTTAAAAAAATGTACTTTTAATGGCGAAAATATTCAATGGGACCGTTCTTAATAACGGCTCCACAGATTATTTTGATTTTTGTGAGAAAAGTTTCTATTTTTTATATACTTTCACTGGAAAAAAAATTTATTGACCAAAGACTTTTGAGTTGAATCTGGTTAAGGCGAACCGTGCTGGGTGATGTTACCCCTTAGGATTATATAATCTTTGACATAAAAAATATGTTTAACTCCTTACAATAATTATTCTTAACTGAATTACTTACTAAGTACCACATTATAGGCCATCTTTCATCATTAAAAATAGTTGGAGTTTTTTGCTGTTTTGGTATTGATATAAAGTCTCTCTTCTTTCGTGACTTCACTCTTTGTTGTTTTGCTTTTTGAACTCTATAATCACGTAGCAACATTTCATGAAATTTAATATGAGGATCTGTAGATCTTTTCTTTACTGTTCTATGATCAAGATGGTACCAATCTTCAACAATCTAAAAATAATAAAAAGTTTATGTTAAAATTATTACAAATTCATGACACCAATTTATATTTATTTTTGGGTTATAGAACAGTGTTGGGTAGTAACTAGTTACTTGTAACTAAGTTACTGAAAAAGATACGTTACTAGTAACTTATAACGTAACTTAGTTACTTTATTTCAAAGTAACTTGTCACGTAACTTAGTTACTATTTTAATAATAACTTTTAACTTTAAGTTATTTCGTTAATTTCTTTGCACTTTTCTTCTTGCTTTAAAAACATAATAATTTCGTGATTCAAAAAGAGCACACAAAGTGATAGTTCAATCGTGTATAAATAGTGGACAAGATTTTTTTTAATATAAGAAATTAACTTAAAAGAATGTCAGAAGTACTTAATTCTGATATTTCCGATAGTAACGAATACAAAGTGACTAATTTGAAGGTTTGATTCCATGGATAGGATTTGCAGAATACTTTACTTTTACTCTAAGGAAGAAAATAACTTCAAATTACTAAATACAGTAGATGTACCATTTATGACCACTGAACCGGTTTTGACCACTTTCAGATTTCTTTTGATATCATTATTAAATTTTCTGATGTAACTATTACATTATATGTACTTTTATAGAATTCCAAAATAATTTGACAACACTGACAACTTAATTTTGATAGAAGTTCAGTTGGCTCAATTAAACAAAATATTTATTTTTACCAGTGCAAATTAAAACAAGTTTTGTTAAAAAAGTAAGTAAGTGCTAAGTAAATAATTCTTATTCAAAATTAATATCAATATTTTTATAATTTATCTCTATTATATTATATATAAAGGATAAATATATATATGAGGCGTTTCATATGAGAACGACATATGATGTCTCAGACTTTCCTTAACTTTTGGTGACATTTTGGTGTTAAATAAGTATGTAAAATTTGAATTAAATTTATTTAATATTTTTAGAGATATTTGCATTAAAAAATTGTTGTAACATTTTTTTCTTTTTCTTATAACTTTTGTTCTTTTGATCCTATAAAAAAAAGTTCTAAATGTATTTAATGCTAAAAATGTTAAAATTTATGAAAAAAATTATTGCAATAAAAAATTATTAAATTTCAATTAATTTATTTAAAAAATAAATTTTAATTTTACGTTTTAAACATGTTCTCCCTGTTTCTCAACCCTGAAAAAAATCATGAATGAAGTTGATAATGTAATAAAGACTTCCTGAAATTTTAAGCTTGGCGTTATTTTTTGTTTTCGAGATAAAAATCTTTAAACAAAAAGAAAAAAATGTTACAACAATTTTTTAATGCAAATATCTCTACAAATATTAAAAAAATTTAATTCAAATTTTACATTCTTATTTAACATCAAAATGTCTCTCAAAACCCAAAAGTTAAGGAAAATCTGAGACATTATATGTCGTTCTCATATGAAACGCCTCATACATATATATATATATGTGTGATTAATTTCATTTATATTAATTAATTAATCAATAATAAATTAATTATTAAACATTAAAAACGAATAATTAAATTTTGAGGTTGCATAAATGGAAATTTATTTCGGGTGGCCACTAAAAATATTCACCTTCCGGCTACGGAACTGCTAAATGTTAATTTTCATTTGTCTGAATTTGTTAATACTATATTTTTTTGGTTTTACACAAAATACATTAAACTACAAAAATACAATAAAAACGTTTATTTCATTAATTGTAGACACTTTTAAATAAAAGCTTTTCAAATTTAAGCTAATTTAAATAATATTATATATTAATATTATCGAGAATATTATATCATTATATTATATCAAAAAAAAAGTTGTTTTATATTTCCAATTAAATATTATTTTAATAACTAGCTAAAACAAACGCGCGTGTTATTCTTCTTTCTTATAGACTTAAATTTAAACATCTTATTCAATTTATATTTACAACATCTTCCAAGTAGCACGGAATATTACAGTCATATTAAAATATTCGCCTCATGTTAATCTTACCGTTTAATATTACACGCTTATTTAAAATACATAAAATTTTAAATAAATATTTTTAAGTGGAATTTCACTTTTTTCTAGAATTGCATTAATATTACGTGCTGCATAAGCTGTTTAAAATTTTAACTAAAAATAAGAATTTTTTTTTCAATATTTAACAGTATATAAATGCTGTTTCATTACATGAAATTCTAATACTTTCAAATTTCCTACAATTTAACTTTAAATAAATAAAATTATTATATTTTAAAAATAATAGAAATGAAAAAATTTAATCATAAAAGAAATTAATCGCTACATAATCAATTGAACTGTAAAAATTTCATACCGCTTGACCTGCAATCTGTTAAAGAGGATTAATTAATAACTCTGAGGACCCAGGTAATTTATTCTTTCTCCCTTTATCACATGAAAAAGCTATAAAGAAAGTCTAATACTAAATAGGTAACGCATACCTTTCTTTCTTACACCAAGGAATATAACATAAGTACTTCTTTGTTTAACATTGCGTTTCTCTATCTAGACGATTGAAAATGGCATAAGAACATCATCGTCTAAAATCTTAATCTTCTTCCTTTTTGTTTTAAAAATAAAAAAAAATATTCATATATCTGTATATTGTAATGATAGTTAGAAATCGTCCGGTAAATATTTGTACTAAATATTATCGCGCGTCGATAAACAAGTTACCGACCGCGGAGCTCAAAGACGTAGTACCCAATATCGCCGTGCGGGCCGCATCGCCAAAGCTCACTCGCGTGCGCCCAGCTCACCGATCGGCTATATAACAGCGGTTCCACATGTATGCGAAGTCGTATAGTCGTTGCGAGCCCCGTATCCCCACTGCGCCATCTACTCAATGCACTCCCCTTCTGACGTCACGGAGGGGAGTGCATTGAGTAGATGGCGCAGTGGGGATACGGGGCTCGCAACGACTATACGACTTCGCATACATGTGGAACCGCTGTAAAGCGCGTTCCACACTTAAACTTTTCGGGCGTCCGACACGACACACGTGCCCCCTCTTCTCCATCTACCAAATGCATTCCCCTCCTGACGTAGGAGAAGTTAGTATTGAAGAGGGGGCACGTGTGTCGTGTCGGACGCCCGAAAAGTTTAAGTGTGGAACGCGCTTAAGCTGCGCTCTCGCTGAGGACCGACACTCTCGCGCTACACGGAGTCCGAGTGGGTCTTACCCACCTGACTAGGAGTTTTACTCCGAGAATCTTTGTAGAGAGTGTCACTCTCGTTCGTCGGGTTTTACCCGTCGAACATTATATCGGTTTTTAATGTATATAGTGTAAAGTATCGTAACAAATGTATAGTAAAGACTTGTAAAGTAACGTATCACGATGTAAAGTAACGTAACAAATTGTATAGTAAAGAGTCGTAAAGTAACATAACGAAATGTATTGTATTCACGTAGTTTAAAGTAGATTTTCCGTTTTATTACCGTTTTTAGATATGCTTAGAGTTATACTCTTTGTATAGTTGGAACGCGAGTTTTACTCGTGATTCACCAGCGTATCGCGAATTTTTAGGCAGTATTGTAACAGATTTACGGCTCATCACAGCGAGTTGAAGCCGATTTTGTTAATGCACGGCTCAAATAAGCAACGTTCCAGATTGACACCGATTTTCAATTTTCGCGGCTCAACACTTTTCAGATAGACGCTACAATATATGTGACGTTCCATGAGGAAAGGGACCTTAGCTGCAATAGACGCATTTTCCAGAAAAGGTATTTAAAGTAGAGCGTCCCTGATTGGTTGAGACCCTCCATCGAAAATCAGCCCCACCACCTTACTACTACATCGTTCCTACAGCTCACGCTTACGACAAGTATACTAGTGTAGAAGTGGTGGGGATGGTTTCTGTAGTCCGTGCTGGAACGCGATTAACATGGTCATGATTAATGCTTTATAACAAAAAAACTAAATAGAAAAGTACAATTTTTAACTTTTGTATCTGAAAGAGCAACTCAAGATCTATCGACTGATATCAAAAACTCAATTTTCATTTTTTTGCAGCTAAGGTCCCTTTCCTCATGGAACGTCACATATGTATATAGGGGAGAGTGACAAACAGTGGGACACTTTTTTTCAAAGACATATAATTATGTCAATTTTATATATTTTTGGACACTTTTTGGTATTACCATAAAGTTTGAACTCTTTTCTACATAATGCCTATGGGCGATTCCACGTCAAATTTACAATCAAATTTTTAATTCGGCCATCTAGTTTGAAAAGAAATTTTCTTTAAGAGGCATTTTATATTTTTTTAACTTGTTACATCTGTTTATTACAAAACGGATTTGTTAAAACTTTAAATATATTATTTAAATATATTATCATTTATCCGATTAACCGTTCTATACTGTAGATTCAAAATGTTTTTTTAAAATACCTATTATATTTTAAAAATAATTATAACTTTTTTTTACCTTTTGTGCTTATTATTTTATGTGTTTTTGTGACAATATTTGAAAAACAATTCTCTTCGAATATTGTGATATGTAAAAATTGAATAAAACAAAAATTCATTAATCTAACTATTTAATTAATCGTATAAACAATTGAAATGTTTAAATATGTTTATATTTAAAGTTTTAACAAATCCGTTTTGTAATAAACAGATGTAACAAGTTAAAAAAATATAAAATGCCTCTTAATGAAAATTTCTTTTCAAACTAGATAGACTTACAAAGCACCGCGCGCGCATTAAGCTTGCAATCCGAGTTTAAATATTTATTTAAACTTATTAAACTTACAGGCCCACTCTGAAACCTTTTCTAAAGTCTTCTTAACACTTCCAGGTAGGTATACGAAAAAAAAATCGGTCCCAAATGTAAAAAACATTAATTTGTTTATAAAAAATTAATATTTTTTATAAAAAAATTAGATTTTTTGGATTTTGTTAACATTTTTAAAAAGTCGAGGAAAAAACAAATTTTTTATGTCTTTACAAAATTTTTCTAAATACAATAGTTTTTGAGCTATTCTTA